CCAGTCAACGTTGGTCGATTCGACGAAAACCAACCGGCCAACAACGCAGCAGCCGTTGGCAGCTACGGCCGAAGGCCAAACTCTGGTTTCGTTCGGAGTCCCGATGGACGGACAGATGCCTCCGCATACCTCGGGAGCTCCGCTGGCAACTGGAGGCGGTGGTGCGAATTACTCGCATTCCACGCCTCGAACGGTGCCGGTCGTCGTAACGGTCACAGAAGCACCTCAGAGCAGCCTCAAGGCAAGCGAAGCCGACGTTGTCGGAGACAGGAACCCGAGTCGTACGACTGCCGCTGACAAACAGCGGCATACGACGACCGAGGCCAGATCCACTAGCACTGTGATAGCTCCGACGGTCAGGAGCACGTTGGCGCCAATGGATGAGAAGTTCCATCGCGGCAGCTCAAAGTATTCCTTGAACCAACTGCTGAACGACCACTTTGACCAGTATGCCGAAACCGATGGCCGACAAACAAGTGGTACAAAATCCAGGGAAGCGGAAGGTGGCCGATGGAAGGACGAGCGTGCAACGCACGACCAGGACGACTCATTTGCGAGGCATGACAGATTCGGCGATAGCCTGGCCTTCTCATCGACGTCTCGTCCAATACATCTGTACTCGAATGAACCGGCTAGCGATCTGTTAATCAGGAGACACACCAGAATCAATATCGGCATTCCTCACCTGTCCCATGGTACAGAGTCTCGCGGCAGTTTACCGGATCTGATGGAATTGGACAAGACGCCGATGGTCATGACCAGAGAGGAAATTGCTCATCTAAGTTCTCAAAGACGATTGGAAATTTTGCGGAAGCGAGAGGAAGAGGAACTATACAGAAGGAATCCACTGCTTCTCGTTCGGCTCATCTTTCATCCTAGTTTTAGGGTAAGTGTTTTCTCTTTACCTTTGTGCAGCACTTGCATATTTCATAATACTGGCTAAAATTGGTTTTCCAGGTTTTTGGCTGTTCAGATTATAAGTTGATATCATATTTCATTGTTTAAAAAATATTCCCTTGGCAGAAACAGCTGCTTCTGCCATGATGAATGTTTCCATGTTTCGAAAAGCTGTTATTAAAGTGACAAAAGACAGACAGCGGCCATAATGAAGGACCATATATCAAAGCGAAAGTCGGCGCCCACTATTCGATTTATGCACAGCATTCTCACAAAAATGGTTTTCAAATATATGTAAGAAAAACTTTTAATTTCAACCTTGCACTTATGACCGGGATTCGTTGAAACTACTTACTGGAGTCATATGTACATTTCTTCATTAATAAAGGATGTGCATTTTTTGCAGGAGTTTTGATGGCATTTAGATAGCTAGAATATCCGTTACCTAATCTTTTCCACTTCTTTACCTACAATCCCAACCCTTCCTCCCATTTAATTATCATTTATAATAATTTTCTTAATTTTATGACTGAACACTTCTTTTATGCGAAAGATTAGTTCTGTAGTCTTACGGTTCTTGTGTTTCTTACGTTATTGTCCGGATACACACTTTATTGCGCAAAACTCTGACGTTCAGAGCCATGCTTCGCTGGTTATCAAAGTACAGTGATACGAACAGATCTGCAAGTTCAAATCGCTTACGTCAAATGTTGATCCACTATGGGCCGAGCAGGGATTAATGTTGACAGTTTTTTATTAAAAGTTGACATCGAGAATTGCTCAGGTCCACTTCATTGTCCTTAGTCAGGCATCTACTGGCCTGGATGAAAGGAGCATCTTTAACCTCTCTAAATTTAAATTTCTTTTCAAATAGGAACAACGCTGATTTTAAAGAAACAGACACTGCGCAACAAGGACGATGTAGAAGGCAGATTAAAGATGACTGCGAAAACAACTCGGCTGTTGTTCAACACTGTTGTCGGAAATCATTAAATCGATTGGCAGCGCAGCACATCCGCGCAACCTCTGCTGAAAGAAACCTGATATTTTTGTTTTATAAACGTAACTACGATTTAATTATTAAAATTTAAGGACAGAGAATTGTAATTATTTTCTCTTTCGCTCAAGGATTGGAAAATATCATGTTTTTGAGAATGTCAGGGAATATCATTTTGTCACCGCTGAGGCGAGTTGCAAAAATGTTTTTCATGTGTTTCTTCAAAATAGGGGATGAAGGTTGGGGTTCGTGTCCAGAGAAGCATTTTCAAAGTAATCAATCCAGTAAAATTTCTGCAAGGTTAAACGTTAGCGAATACCCATAGATGAATCATCTGAAAGCTCAATTTTTCTGTGCTTAAACCATGCATACTTAAAGCTGCTTTGCTAAATGAAAATAAGCTCACACTTACCCTAACGAATCACAAGTCGTAAGCGCCTTTGAGTCGTTGTACAACTTGCATGTGTATATAAAACAAAAATTTCATTTTTAGGCTTGGATCGTGAGGTGGAAACTTGCGCTGTTCGTCTGCTGGATGAACTTAGTATTGTTCGCCATATTCTACCACTTACTAACTTCTTCAAGGCCAACCCGCGAGCGCAAGGAAGACGGGTGAGGCGGCTCTCCGAAGTGTCGGGAAGCTCGCTTATGAATTCGCCGCCATTCAGTTTGCTTGGCTGTTTATTAGCTGGCGCCAGGTGTGATTATCCGACTATGTCTGATCTGATGTGATCTGATCTGGATGCAATCAGAGTCTCAAAGTTCCTGTTGTGTTCCGTTTAACGCGATTTCGAAACGGTCTTCCGTCCTAACGACGGCCGGCCGGCTGACCGACCGACCGAACGAACGACCAGTCGCCGCCGGCCATCCAGCCGTTAGTCCATCGAACTTCTGTGATTTTCAGCTTGTCCCCCGATCGGTGATCACTTTGGCAGCTGCAGCGTAGTTCCGCTTCCGGTAAAAGTGACAGCGCGTAGGGCAGCTATTGTTGAAACTTTGGAACAAGCGTTTTATTTGTTTGAGCGATTTAGAGAACTTGTGAAATGCTGAAAACGGACTAACTTTTCTTCCATATTTTGAGTTTCAGTTCAGTTGCTTCGCCGAT